GTATACACCCGGATTTTCAGACATGATTCGACGGTCTTGATTCGACCTGTGATGATTCGACACTAATCACGTGACGTATCGCTTCGCAGTGGGTAAACGGTTGCAAAGTCTACCGTGGGATCCGAAGCAGTGAGGGAAAAATCTGGCTGGCAAGGAAAGCTTAGCACTAAAGGACATAAGTGTAACGAAGCTAGAATCCTGACAAATGCGTTTTACCTGAAAAGGAAAGCTTTTTTCATGTTGCCTGGAAAGCTGCGACATGATACAGAAATTATGATAACATGTGATCGGGTGATAAACCTGGAGTTCGATGTATTTCTGAAGGCGATTCATAATGGACGAAATGTTATCAATACGGCAAAAAGATGTAACAGTGATGCTAATTTAGTTATCAGGGAGGCAAATTTGTATTTCTTCAAGTTGGTACTTTTTGGTCCTTACTTAGCTTCTGCATGGTTAAAAAATAACAGGAAAACTTGACGTTTTGCAGAAGCAATCAACAGATAAATTGATCAGTCTGCCGTTGTGAAAGAATTTGCTGGAGAGTTTGAAAGTTTTGTTTTGTCGACCATTGAAAAATATCACAATGTTCGGTCCTCGACCTATAACCCTAGTGAGCACAAATAAAGAAAACCATACATAAAAGAAAGCAGCATTTGTTTTTACTGAAAAAAGGTAAAATATGATATTTCTTTAAAGATCAAGGTAGAAGTTCAAAAAAAAGTTGGGAAAAGCGATGAAAAACTTATTGATCGAGACGTCCACACGCCCGATAACATGTATTGCGATTAGATTGCGTGACTTGTATGAGAGGCTGTTGTCTGAAAAGGAGCACAAATTACGGATCACAGTTCTCTTTTTCTGAATTACAAGAGAAATATTCAAGCTATCATTAAAGTAACCTTCAGATTGTGTGCTTTGATTGCTGTAGGATATTCAAGGTAAAATACTGTACTGCTTGGTAACCTCTCGGTCGAATCATGACCGTCGCACTGAAATCAGCTGTAACTTGAGTATCAGGCCTGCCTTAGGGGTGAGGGGAGGGGAAATTTTAGATGACGGAGTGGGGGAGAGGAATAGAGACTCAATAGAGAAAGAAAGGCAGTTTCTTGCGTTTCGCTCTCTTCCTTTTCGCTTTTCTCTTGGCCACTTCCCACAGAAACACCTAATTCTCTGGCTAGTAAACAGTCCTTTCCTCTAGCTTAAAAGGCTATCACAGAGAGTCCTCACATTTATCATGAAAAAGTCAAGTGAGACGATTGCAGCGAGATTGCTAGACTTGCTACAAGTCGACCTCTTGGCGAGCGGAGCGAGCCTTTTTTGGCCGCAAGGCGGCCAATTCGCCGCGAGCGACGAAGTCGTCCCGCGCCATATGTAATCCGACGAAGCACTTTTTTGAAAGTCTACAAGACTGCCTGCTGGGGCCGAGAAGAGCCGACCACTAACACCACGTTGGTGGGATTCCCGTAAATATGAGCTTATTTGATCAGCTCCAGGTAGTGTTGAGAATGATGTGGAAATGCTTAACTAGTAATGTTTGATCAATTTAAAATTCTATGACCATAAAGAAGCTTCCCTTCGTCTTAACGAACATATTCAGGAACTGATTGGCAAGAATCATAAAACCCGGAAGTAGGGTTTTCACTTCTTCGGTCAAATTCCACCGCCTATCTGTGAGAGGAATGTTATTCTAGCAGGCATTATCCACAGTTACGAGCGTGTATCTCATTATGTGGTTGCATAAAGCTTCACTAGACTATACTTACAGAAAATCGAAGTTTCACTAAAATTCCACCCGCTCAAGCAGAGTATCGTGAATGGCGTGACAGTTTTGTTTCAAAAATTTGCGTGACCAATGACGTATTTGGTTCCGATCCAAATACGATGATCACATAATCAAGCTGTTTTGCAGTCTGTTTGTGCTGCGCTGGTTCGGTTCATGATGTAGGCTCTATAGGAAGAGGTGGAAGTATTTCTCAAATTTAAGAAAGGTAAGCTGAACTGTAGAACGTAACCTATAAAACATCTTTGATCATAGATTCGCTGTTTTAGGGTGGACCTAGTTAAAACAGTTATACTTGTCTCGTAGTTGTATTGGCAGAGGGTGGTGGCCATGATCACCTCAAATTCAGATCAGACCGTTTTTGGTGTTGTTAGTTTCAAGTCTCTGTGTAGATAGCCTTTTATTTGAGAAAGTGCTGAAGTGAATTTATTATGTGCCACTTCCCTCTTCCAATCATGACAGCTGGGAGTTGCCTTTGTTGCCGAGAATGACCATTTTCTTTTCCTAGTTGGTCTTGGAAGGTTCTCGACAGTGACATATCCCATGATATTTTTTTATCTTGTAGAGCTCATAATCTTTTCAAACTGCTGTAACGCAGCTACTGAGCCAAGCGACAGGAGTTGGAGGACTTGAGGAGGAATAGCAACATATAAACAGTTTAAACTCCAAGTGTAAATTGCCACTGATGTTTCATTGTGTGTAATGAACTCTACTTTAACTACAAGTGATGATGGCATCATTGATGGATAAAGAGCTGATTCAATGTTGAAACTGTTCTCCTCTGATGCTAGGGATTTATAAATGTCAGCATAGCTGTCAATACAAGAAGTAAACGTGGGGCAATGCCTCGTCGCAGTTACTTTGGTGTGTTGGGCAAAACCAATGAACACAGCTTGAAGGAAAAGAAAGCCGCAGATTGACCGCATGGTAATTAAGCTCTTACCAATGGCTACAATTACCCCTATAAAGAAACGACAATTGAATGGTTTTAGAAGACCGTAGTACAGGTAGTACGTTCAGTTGTTCAGTAAAGAAAAATTGTGAACGAAAGCTGTTTTGTTTGTTGGTTTGGTTGTTTTGTTGAAATACGGGAATTTGCCTCCTTTTTGTATGGAAAAATTTCAGTGATACATAAACTGTGCCAGCAAGGGCTTTGATGCCTGGCCGAGAGTGAGAGAGGGAAGCTGCGAAGACAATGAAAACTCCGGCAAGAAATCCTGCTCACACCTAACAAGAAGTACCCTCCCAGGGAGACGGGGCAGCCTACTCCATAAAGTCTTATACGAAGAGGTTTCGCCCCGAGGTCCAACCCCAGCCTACGTAGCAATCGTTTTTGTGCAGTTCAGAAGCAAAGAATGAGGAACAAGAGTCAAAGATCGCGCGAAAAATGGCCCTCGTTTCATCTCTGGCGCGGCCAAAACCGAGAATCCCGTTCCTCGGTCTTCCATACTTGCGCCATTTTTTGCGCGGTCTTTGACTCTCGTTCCTCGTTCTTTGCTACTAAACCACACGGAAACGCTTGCTACGCAGGCTAGAAGAATCTCCAAACTAGAAAATCAGTTTCTATGTGCTCAGAAACCGACGTCTTTTAGACATTAAAAGACTTTCCTCGTCAAAATGAATTTTCTTCCTAGTCTTCAGAGTCTTTACAGCTGATTTCATTGCTATGTATACACCCGGATTTTCAGACATGATTCGACGGTCTTGATTCGACCTGTGATGATTCGACACTAATCACGTGACGTATCGCTTCGCAGTGGGTAAACGGTTGCAAAGTCTACCGTGGGATCCGAAGCAGTGAGGGAAAAATCTGGCTGGCAAGGAAAGCTTAGCACTAAAGGACATAAGTGTAACGAAGCTAGAATCCTGACAAATGCGTTTTACCTGAAAAGGAAAGCTTTTTTCATGTTGCCTGGAAAGCTGCGACATGATACAGAAATTATGATAACATGTGATCGGGTGATAAACCTGGAGTTCGATGTATTTCTGAAGGCGATTCATAATGGACGAAATGTTATCAATACGGCAAAAAGATGTAACAGTGATGCTAATTTAGTTATCAGGGAGGCAAATTTGTATTTCTTCAAGTTGGTACTTTTTGGTCCTTACTTAGCTTCTGCATGGTTAAAAAATAACAGGAAAACTTGACGTTTTGCAGAAGCAATCAACAGATAAATTGATCAGTCTGCCGTTGTGAAAGAATTTGCTGGAGAGTTTGAAAGTTTTGTTTTGTCGACCATTGAAAAATATCACAATGTTCGGTCCTCGACCTATAACCCTAGTGAGCACAAATAAAGAAAACCATACATAAAAGAAAGCAGCATTTGTTTTTACTGAAAAAAGGTAAAATATGATATTTCTTTAAAGATCAAGGTAGAAGTTCAAAAAAAAGTTGGGAAAAGCGATGAAAAACTTATTGATCGAGACGTCCACACGCCCGATAACATGTATTGCGATTAGATTGCGTGACTTGTATGAGAGGCTGTTGTCTGAAAAGGAGCACAAATTACGGATCACAGTTCTCTTTTTCTGAATTACAAGAGAAATATTCAAGCTATCATTAAAGTAACCTTCAGATTGTGTGCTTTGATTGCTGTAGGATATTCAAGGTAAAATACTGTACTGCTTGGTAACCTCTCGGTCGAATCATGACCGTCGCACTGAAATCAGCTGTAACTTGAGTATCAGGCCTGCCTTAGGGGTGAGGGGAGGGGAAATTTTAGATGACGGAGTGGGGGAGAGGAATAGAGACTCAATAGAGAAAGAAAGGCAGTTTCTTGCGTTTCGCTCTCTTCCTTTTCGCTTTTCTCTTGGCCACTTCCCACAGAAACACCTAATTCTCTGGCTAGTAAACAGTCCTTTCCTCTAGCTTAAAAGGCTATCACAGAGAGTCCTCACATTTATCATGAAAAAGTCAAGTGAGACGATTGCAGCGAGATTGCTAGACTTGCTACAAGTCGACCTCTTGGCGAGCGGAGCGAGCCTTTTTTGGCCGCAAGGCGGCCAATTCGCCGCGAGCGACGAAGTCGTCCCGCGCCATATGTAATCCGACGAAGCACTTTTTTGAAAGTCTACAAGACTGCCTGCTGGGGCCGAGAAGAGCCGACCACTAACACCACGTTGGTGGGATTCCCGTAAATATGAGCTTATTTGATCAGCTCCAGGTAGTGTTGAGAATGATGTGGAAATGCTTAACTAGTAATGTTTGATCAATTTAAAATTCTATGACCATAAAGAAGCTTCCCTTCGTCTTAACGAACATATTCAGGAACTGATTGGCAAGAATCATAAAACCCGGAAGTAGGGTTTTCACTTCTTCGGTCAAATTCCACCGCCTATCTGTGAGAGGAATGTTATTCTAGCAGGCATTATCCACAGTTACGAGCGTGTATCTCATTATGTGGTTGCATAAAGCTTCACTAGACTATACTTACAGAAAATCGAAGTTTCACTAAAATTCCACCCGCTCAAGCAGAGTATCGTGAATGGCGTGACAGTTTTGTTTCAAAAATTTGCGTGACCAATGACGTATTTGGTTCCGATCCAAATACGATGATCACATAATCAAGCTGTTTTGCAGTCTGTTTGTGCTGCGCTGGTTCGGTTCATGATGTAGGCTCTATAGGAAGAGGTGGAAGTATTTCTCAAATTTAAGAAAGGTAAGCTGAACTGTAGAACGTAACCTATAAAACATCTTTGATCATAGATTCGCTGTTTTAGGGTGGACCTAGTTAAAACAGTTATACTTGTCTCGTAGTTGTATTGGCAGAGGGTGGTGGCCATGATCACCTCAAATTCAGATCAGACCGTTTTTGGTGTTGTTAGTTTCAAGTCTCTGTGTAGATAGCCTTTTATTTGAGAAAGTGCTGAAGTGAATTTATTATGTGCCACTTCCCTCTTCCAATCATGACAGCTGGGAGTTGCCTTTGTTGCCGAGAATGACCATTTTCTTTTCCTAGTTGGTCTTGGAAGGTTCTCGACAGTGACATATCCCATGATATTTTTTTATCTTGTAGAGCTCATAATCTTTTCAAACTGCTGTAACGCAGCAAGATTAATTTAGGGGCCTACAATATATGAATTTTAGTGCTTTATCCATAGCTTAATAATAAATTATTCAAAGGATATCTTCAGGAGCCTGTGAGGAATTAGCAAGAAGGAGCATATCATTCAATTTATTCTTTTTCGTGGTTGATTAACAAGGGTTTACATACCTGCCAACTCTCCCGGTTTTCCCGGGAGTCTCCAAGTTTTTCATCAAATCTCCTGATCTCCCGGTTAGAGCACCAAATCTCCCGGATAAGATGGACTTTTGAGCATTTCTGTGCTTTAGTTTGAAATTTAGTCCATTTTTTCCACAAAATTCGAAATTTTTATTCATTGCACAGTTTCTGGGACATTTTTGCTACGGTGGCCCGTAAGGGACATTACAATATATTTTTTCCCTTAAGTTATCGCGCGATAATTTCAACTTATCGCGCGATAAGTTTAAATTATCGCGCGATAACTTTGAATTATCGCGCGATAATTAGTCAGTTTATCGCGCGATAAATGAGAAAATGTAAAAACTATCGCGCGATAATTAGTCAGTTTGAGAAAATGCTAGGGGCGATAGGCTGCACATCTATACCGGCGTGAAACCTTGTGTAAACCTTTTATATTTTAGCTCTAACGAGCATGTTCTTTAGGGATTTTCCTCTCTTCTTGGTTCCTTAAAAATTTGGCGAAGTAACGGTTGGTTTTGTGTAAGATTCCATTTTTCAGTAAAACTTCTTTTAAAGTAGACACTGAGGGCTGGTACTGTGTCACGAAAGGCAATATTTTTTTCCTCTTTTTTGTTGTGTTTCAGGAGTGCAGACTCCCTCTCTGTGAACTTTATATCTGATAGAAGGTTTTTTTTATCATAGTTTGTGGGTAGCCTCTGTCAATCAAGCGTTTTTTGAAATTTGAAATATTTTCCTCAAAAGTAGTTTTTGAGGAGTTTGTTCGTAGGATTGTCAAGGCTTCTCCTTTGACAAATCGTTTTTTAACACTCGGTGGGTGACAAGAGGTGAAATGTGTGTACTGGAAGGTTTCCGTTCTTTTAAAACGTGTCTTTATGTCAAGGATAGATTTTTCCTTGAATCTTGTGCCTTTGTATACAACCGCGTCTAAAAACACAGTCTCAGTGTCAGATTTTTTGGCCGTGAATTTGATAGTTGGGTGACGTAAGTTTGCTAGTTCGATGTCCACTTCGTGTTTCGATGTCTGGTTTACTTATGTCCCACAGGGAAAAGATATCGTCAATGTAGCGTTTCCAAACTGTAGGTTTAAAAATGGTTCTGCTCAGAAATGTGGATTAGGTGTTTGAGATTAGGTGTTTGAGATAGCCATTTTCTTCAATGGAGGTCAAAAGTGTTGGGACCTTTCCAGTGATATTACTAAAACTAGCGACCCCTCCCCTCCCACCCCAAACAAAGTTGGATTTGGAGCAAAATGGGTGAGAATGAGTGCTTTTTTGGCCACAACATTGCCAGGGGAAGTGGGGGGAACGACAGGATGAACCCAAAGCCGAACAAAAAAAGTCATCCTTCGGAGCAGGGACCTACGTAACAATTGCTTGGAAGGGCTTTTTCACACAGTCCCAAGTTCTTTTGTCCTCCATTGTTGTCATGTCATCAATATAATTTTCACGGTGAAGATCCGTAATTAGGCGCAAGACCTTGCAGTGCGTTTCTTTCACCATGGGTTGAGTGAGAGGTCTCTAGTTATGTTTGTCGCCGATTTGTATTTGACCCTCTCTTATTTTGTCAGTTTTGTTCATGATTACTGCGATAAACTGACTAATTATCGCGCGATAATTCAAACTTATCGCGCGATAAAATGAACAGTTATCGTGCGATAATTTTTAAATTTTCTCATTTATCGCGCGATAACTTAAGAATAAAAAAAAGATTGCAATGTCCCTTACGGGCCATCGTATTTTGCACATGTTTAGTCAATGACAAAGATTAGTTCGTCATTACAATGATGAACTCGCATTTTGATCCCATGTATGTCATGTAAGACGTCATATAATGTCCTAAGGCAATTTGTTGGCGCCGGGGGGGAGGGGGGTTGGAGTGGGGGTTTTGGTGCTGTTGACATTCGGGGGTGGGGGGGGGGTGTAGTGCAAAATAGAGAGTCTCCAGATTTTAGATCTCCGGAGGTTGGCAGGTATGGGTTTATATATTGTATCTTGTGCAATGTCAAGTTTAAATTAAGAATAAACTAACGATGGCAGCACAATGGCCCTGAGTAAGGATTCTGACATCAATTTTGACATTTGAAAGAATGCTATGGAATCTCTGGATGACCCAGACATATCAATTCATGAAATAGTTTTTTCACGAATAATAATAAACTCTAATGATGTTGTCGCTTAAAACGTCAGTTAGTTTTGTTGAGCTTGTTACAGCACTTACAAGAGGCTAGAAAAATCAAATTAGTGAAAAACAAAGCTTGCTTTGACTTTTCTATCTTTTAAAAGCTGATTTGAGCAATTGCATTAAAAAATAGGACAGAACGGTCCACAATGTAGATCAGTGTGTAATAGTAAAGAAATGTGTAAGTTTATAAGATAGCCATTCAATAAGCTGTAATTTGATATAGAGTTAGGTATCTGCAGTGTAACTATTAAAATGGGTGACATCAGTACTTACCGGTACATAGTTGCACTGCACAGACTAGACCAAAGTCATAAGCCTAGAGGAGGTGTTTGCGATTTTGGATACAAATTTGAAAGTTTAAATCATTTGTTATCTGCATGGCCTATAGAACTGACAACTTGCCTCTGTCCTGTTTCAAAAATTATTTGCTTTTCTTGCTCAACTCTGCAATGTCATTAAATATTCCTATTTTTATTCTTGCTGATGTCAATTATTGACATCAGCAAGAATAAAAAATAAAAACATAAAAAATAAAAATAAATAAATAAATAAAAAATAAATAAAAAATAAAAAATATTTTATAAAAAATAAAAATAAATTGCATGTTGCAATAATTATTATTGCAACATGCTTTGACCCAAGGAAAAGGAGGCAAAATCACTGCATGATTTCTGTGACTCCTTCAATCTCACACAGGTTATAAACAAGCCTAAAAAACAACTCAGTTCTCCAAGTCCATTATTGACGTTATTATTACTAAAAAAGCAAACTTGATAAAGGAAACACAAGTTATTCCACAGTCAATCATTGACCATGAACTGATTATATTTGCAACTCTACAACTCAAGAAACCTTGTCCCAAACCTGTATACATCACCACAGGGAGCTTCAAGAATTACATCAAAGACGCTTTCCTCGAGGACAGTCATTTCCAATGCTCCCTGGTTCATTCTAGACACTTTGGATAATGTGGAGGATTTTAGATCAACATACGCCTCTGAAAACTGTTAAACAGTCCTAACACGCCCAACTCCATTCATCGATGATAATTAATGTGTGTGCCCTAATGAAAACAAGAGATCATTGGCAGAACTTAGCGAGGTAAACAAATGATCCTGCTGCCTGGTCTGGCTATTAAAATTGTAAATGAGAAGAAAAGCCAGAGCTACAGATTGCTCAAAGGAATTTCATCCAAGAATGTATATCACAGAATTCAAATGACACTAATGCAATGTGAGAGACAATTTTATTATAAGATTGTGTATCCCAAAGAAATCTGTAAGTGTAAGGGTTTACAGTGATGATGATAAAACTATTGCTGATAGATTTAATCAATTTTTTACTTCAGTTGGAGAAACAACATATCAAAAACTCAAACAGCTCGCTAATGAGTGCCGTTATGCTCCATTATTGCAGCAAACCTGCAGCTCGGAATTTCCAAGAGCAGAGCATTTTATTTTTGCCAAAAAAGGCAGGCTGTACATTGTTTGGATGTTGAAAAGATTGTATCATCATTGTCTACAAAGAATTTTATTTATATAGCACCAGGTCTTGACAAGATACCAATTCATGTCATCAGACTCAGCACCTGGTATTATTCCTTCTATTACTGCCATTATAAAATTCTTCTTTTAGCACCAGCACCTATCCTGGAGATGGAAGGATTGCTGAAGTGTGACCAATCTTGAAAGAGAGTGATTTTGAACAACCAAGCAACAACAGGCCATTATTTTGTTGCCTATCTTATCCAAGGTGTGTGAAAAGGTGGTCCTGCATCAGCCAACACCCCATCTAAAAACAAACAAAAGGCTGGTGGTGGAACGGAGCAGAAAAAAAGTATGAGCATTAGCTTGATTATAATATTGCAAAAGAATTTACTCGGAGTTTAAATTACATTAATGTTTTCTGATGATTAAATTGAAGCTTGGTTAAGTTGCTGAATGGAAGATCGTCACCCTAAGAAGCAAGTAAACACTCTTGGGAAGCAAATAAGAAAAAGTGCATCAAACATCTTCCAAAAATGGAGAAAGAAACCAAAAACATCAGGTAAACCAGAAATTTTTTTCTTGTTTGTTTGTATTTATGACAATCATGTTATATTTATCTGTAGAATTTGTTAGTGAACACCTGAACTGACACGTTTGTCAAAGAAGGACATCAAGAGGCTGGGTGTGTGTGTGTTTGTGTGTGGGGGGGTGGGTACCCTCCCATAGCCAGTTTTGTGTATTATATCAATTGGAAGGTGGTCTTAGACAAGCCATGAAAGAGAGGTAAGAATTTGGTGGTTGCAGTTTAAGAGGAACTAATCCAAAATGGACTCTTGTAGTGGGTGGGGTGGACATGATAGTGTGGAGGTAATCTCACATTAAGCCACGGAGAGGTTGGGATGTTTTTTGGAACAATTAGCACGATAATGGAGGTTATGTGTGTATATATTTATTGAGGTCACGCCAGGGTAAATTCCAACAAACGACATGACACAAAAAGTAGCGACAGAACGTAAAATGAAATTGCGACAAGAGACGACCTCCCTCAGTCAAATTGCGACAGGGATGGCAAAGCCAAGAATAAGCGACAAAGAATGGTGGTTTGGCTAATTTATCACCAGTCTGAATGCCAAGAAGGAGTAATTTTCGTCAATTTTCCTTGCACTTCAGAGGACGTCTCTTGTCAGTGCGCTTCAGTGGACCCTCCTGTGAATTGTGAATGGCGATGTATAGGTGTTCAATGCATGGAATTTTAACTGAGAAATTGCACTGTAATGGTTTCTTGAGTTCACAGTGCATCGCTATGCCCCATTTCCAAAATTCCAACAAAGACAAAGAATTTTCATTCAATTTCCGACACCGACATGAGAATTCAGAAAATTCAGACTAGCGACAGGGGACCCCCCCTCCACACACCCCCTGGCAGGGCCTTTTTACTGTGTATTATTGGTTGTGTATGATAGACTTGTTTATCATTTTGTCTAATGGTAGCCATTTTTTGTTGATCATAATAAACCTAGACACAATTTTAGCAGCTTTCATACATTCTTTCTTATGTGATGTAGACTTTTTAGCAAATTTATGTTGTTGTAAGAAATTGTTCCTTCAGCAGCCTACTGTGATATCTATTTGCTGTTTTGTAATGTCTTTCTGCATTTGACTCATTCCGTTGTTTACAAACATAATTAAGCAATCCCATAGAACAATGGTCACACTCAAGACAGTGTATAAAAATTTAATATTTATTGAGTGTTTGTTGTTATATATAGCTGAAGGTCAATCTGGAGGAGTTGGGCAAGCTGGCACAAGCACAAGTTTTGATGCTGGTGAGCAAAGTATCAAATCTTATTACTTCTGTCAAACTGAGTAACCTGCAAAAGTCACACTTGTTCCACTGTTTATTTTATTCATTAAGGTTCTGAGCAGAAAGTAGAGAGTGTTATTTCTGATGATCATGGAACATCAGCTGGTGCAAGCTGCCTTGATCACGGTACATTGTTTAGTTAAACATTATAGGGAAGAGAAGTAATGATGTCACAAATTAAATCTGTGAAATTATGGGATTGGCTGGCATATTCTGGTCTCAAAAAACTTTTTTTGTGGTCCTTCAGGCCTCAGTTTGCTCTAAAATAAAGGGGGCCCCAGGCCCTCAAGGCCCCTCCCATAGATCTGCCACTGCTATATAGGTGTTGCTAGAATGTAGCTTGGTATGTGACTAGTAGAAGTTTATCTCTGCCGGAGTTGTGACACTCCATGTTACGCATATGTATGTAAAATAGTGATAGCATGGTTTTTTCATCTTAGTACATTGCACTGAAAAGTTATTAACGATTTCCAGTTTCAAAAGCCTGATAAGTCCCCACCCAAATGTAGAGGCGTGGCCAATGTACACTTGATTTAATTTGTGCCACTCAACTGAGAAAAGAGGAAAGTATAGTGAGTGATTGGATCCCTTGTGCACTCACGTTGTATGTAATGCTTAGGACTGGCAAGTATTGGGGCAAGTACATAATACATGTAATGTAATATTTTTCATCAGTGTGTACATGTCGCATATTAAATGAGTTTGTTAATCCATTCACTCTAAGAAAGTGTGCAGCCTGAAAAAACATCCTCTGAAGCTAGTCATGTCGTTTTCTGGCTGAAACTGCTCAAAAGACAGTTTTTAAATCAAGCACCATGCTTGCAGTCTTTAGTCAGCTTCCTTTGCTCATGACAAGCTTTGAAGTGCAAAATATTGTTATGCAAATTAGCTGGCTGCACATTCAATGTGCAGGCAGCAATTTTGCAAAGTCATTCAAAGCCAATAGGTTCAAGGGGAAAGTTTTTATGAAAATTTTTAGGATCATTGGATAGAATAAAGTTCAGGTGGAAAGTGGAACAAGATTTTTCTGTTTCTTGCTAATCCGATCCTCTGTTTAATTATTTTTAAGGTGCATCTAATGTTGTGCAAGGTGCAAGCAATAATCATGGTGCTGGGGGTGAAGTTTCAGGTTCAGTTGGAGGGGTTTCTCATGATCAAGGTTCAGTACCATCATGATAATGTGTTTATTAAGAAGTAAAGCTGTAATTAATAAATAAAAAATATCATTTTAGTGGTAACATTAATGCTGGGATGCCCAGGCTTTCATCTACCACAATTCCAGCATGAGATCGTAATATTAATAATAGAAATGTTGGTTGCTCAATGCTATATTGATCAAGAGATGCAAAAACCAGAGTACCTTCACAAAACCTGTTGGAACAAACAAGTGAACCGAGTAACAAGTTGGTTTCTCCAGCGACTGCACCACCCTTGTTCTCAAAATATAATAGCAAAACAGTTATGTTATTTTTCACTCAGCAAGCATGTTAATGTTAAAACTCTTCCTTACCAACATAAATTAGTTATGCAGCTTTGGACTGAACTGTATGTTTAAAATATATAAATAGTTATCTACATGTTGGAATGCTGGCTAATATGTTGTCTCATTTTTCAGGTGCATCTAATGCTGTGCAAGGTGCAGATTCTGGTGCTGGGGGTGAGGTTTCAAATCCAAGCAATGAAGTTCGTTATGACCAAGGTACTTTACAGAAATGTTATTTGTTACTGAAAATGTTTACTGAAAAGTTGGTTAATATGTCTTTGAAATTTAGCATCTCCTTTAGGTGCAGTTATGTGACACTAATCTATAAACTTAAAAACGTCAATCGTGTAATCTCAATTGTTGCATGTTTCTGAGTGATATTTTTTTCATTCTTAAGGTGCCTCAGCTAGTGCTGTGTACAAGGGAAGTAAAAATAGTGGTGCCATAGGGAGTGGAGCTTCAGATTCAGGTAAAGAAGTTCCCCATGATAAAGGTACAAAAACAATATCTTTTTTACCCATGGTTTCTCATCAGGACTTAAAAAGTAAGAGAAATATATGTAAATAAATGATATTGCTATATAACTTTAAGAAGCTATTTTGTATTTTGTGTACATATTTAATGAAAGAAAGTAGATAAAATAATGTGTATATCACATATACCTGCTTTCCACGAGAGCCGTGCCTGTAACTAAGCAAAAACTTAACTACAGGGTGTCCCAAAAGTTCGTTCCTCTGATTTTATGCACTGTAACTTTTGATTAAAACTTTATTTTTACATGAAATTTCTACAAGATGTTTATTTCTTTATCGAGTACTTTTGTTCAGAATTTCAGTAACTGGCATGCCCTTTTTGTTTTTTTAATCACATTCTGTAGCCATTGCAGCTTGAAGTGGGATACACAGTAGAGTGAAGACTTTGAAACCCTGATTGACTACAAGATAGCAAATTGTCAAATACTGATACCATTTCTGGAAGAAATTGTAATTTGGAATGTTAGTGTTTGAGGAGAGGGGGAAACCGGTGTACCCAGAGAAAACCTTTCAGAACAAGGGTGAGAACCAAAAGCAAACTCGATCTTCAGTCATGTATGCCAGCACTTTTGGGACACAAACCTGGGGCATGCTGGTGGGAGGCAAGTGCTCTCACCACTATGCCACTCTTGTTTCCATGGCATGTGGCCAGAGGCGTGGCCATCTCCACATGGCCAAATTTGTAGACCTTGGTGTAGCCTACCTGGAAAAAAATTGAAGGAAGGATATGAAGTAACTCTCCAAATCTAATTGTTATTATTATTATTATTATTATTATTATTATTATTATTATTATTATTATTATTATTATCTCGCAGTATAAAACTTCAAAATGCTGTCCACATTATGAGTAGTATAGGGCGCATAACGTAACCTACACCACTTGAGAAGCTATACTTAGAAGTTAAAAAAGGTCGGTACAAAACCTAATACAATCCTAATATACAGAATGATATGAATCTCTCTACTTAAAAAGCCAATTTAGAATATTATTAAATTCTTATACTCTGTAAAACCTACCCGAAGACATGATGATATAATTATCTCTACCAGAAGCCTATTTAGAAAATTATTCAGTTTTTATACCCTCATTATCTCTTATATACCTAAACGAGGCCATCATAATGTGGTTATCTCTACTAAAAGCCTATTTAGAATAATATCAAACTCTAATACTCTATAAAATCTAAGTAAAAACATCAGTAAACTTGTGTTTCTGGATTTCTAGAGAAAAAGAAACTAAAATCTGGTGTCCTTAGCGCCCTAACTAAGTATTTATCTTAAATGTTCTGCCAATGTTCAAAGTGTTTGAGATGAACGACTTCTGCATCCGCTCAAGTACGCCCCGTGCTCTCGCTCCAAGTAGCTTCCTCACCGACTTCTCAAGGTGTTTAGAGTAACCACCCAGTACGTCAATTATTACGTTGTACTGTTCAACCCTGTAACCAATGTACCTCTGCTTTAGCTCCCACATCATGGGCCCATACTTGAGTGTCTTTTCCTCATCTTTCTTAGCTCTACTCTCAATCCATGGGCAGCTCATTTCAATAATTGAAATGAGCTATTATTGTGCAGACTTCTTTCCTCTCGTGGCTGACAAGTCGCTTGTCGATCCGATTTGCTCTAACTTCGTTGTGCTCTGCATAGATGGGAATATCCCAAAACGCCTCACTCGTGGTGTTCTGGTAGGCTGGTTCTGGCATCACCGGTGAGTACCATGGAGGAACCTCTTCTATTAACCCATGCTCTCGCAGGAGCTCAAAAAACAGAATCTTCAAAGCTACATTATGCCTGTATAGGTACTTGGTTTGTGCCAGGGAGGAACATCCAGCCAATACATGTGCAACGCTTTCAGCTATCTTCCCACATAACCTGCATAGGACTTCGCCGTCGGTGGAGGTTTGCGTCTTCTCCTTTGAGTAGAGCTTCGTTGGTTACAACTGCTCATACAGTTTATACCTGCCCGCGATGGTATATGTAGGGCATGAAGCCCAACCTTTTAACCATGCAAAGCAGCTGGTTATGCTTAGGCTGTCATCTTCCCATCTGATACGGAATAACTTTCCTTGCCACCTTTTGTCTTTAGCGATCTCCCAGAACTGCTTCTCTTGAGATTGCTTCAACAGATTCCCAGCTCTTGCTGCAGTCACCACCTTTCCTTCAGTTGTAACACACACGGGATTTAGGGAGTCAAGCTGAAGTGTGATGTTGAGTTCTTCACCGTACTTAACTGCTTCCTTTACAAACGACTGGTGGCCTGATGCCATGGCGTGTTCTTCAAATTCTCTAACTGCTTTCACGGTCAGGTCCAAATTCTGATACAATTTCATTAGCGATTTGATTTTAGTGATCTTGTACTCGTGTTCTACTGATCGCAGGCCTCTACCCCCTTTCTCCCTCGGTAGATATAACAAAGAAGTTAGACTAGCTGGGTGCTTGCCACCGTTCTCAACGATGATCTTCCGAGCTGCTCTGTCCACATCTCTTAACTCTGATAGAGGCCAATGCTGCGTGTTCACATTAAGTACCGCAGGACCAGGAGTGCATACTGATTAGTTGCCTGTACACGGTTTTATTGTTAATTTTATAATTATTATTATTATGGTTATTTTTCCACAAAATTCCATAAGGGGATTTCATTGATGACTGCCGCTTAAACGCTAGCCTAGCGTCTGTTTTAGAAAGTGATAATGGTGTGAGCTTGTAAATTAGTAATTTTAAGATCTTTTTAATAATTTTAGTCTATGTTAGTGGAATGTAAATTGGTCATATAATGCCTGCCGCTTAAACGCTAGCCAAGCGTGTGTCCGCTAATTTTAGAAAGTCGATAATGGCGTGAGCTTGTACATTAGTATTTTAGGATCTTTTAACATTTTTATTTCATCAAAATTTAAGTCTATGATAGTGGAATGTAATTTGGTCATATGTTAATAAAGATTTTATTTCATAATAAAATTATTATTATTACTTTTATCTCAGTTTCGTAGTTATCAGCTCATTCATGTTTTTCTTTTCATAATCAGAATTTACTAACGTGAAAACATCTACCTTGGAAGACTTGCGTAGCAAGCTTGCTGATCTCTACAAACGCACAGCCAAGGTACCCACGTCAGTTTGGTCTTCGGTCTGTCAGGTGGAACTTGACCAGATCTACACTCGATTGTCATTGGTGAAAAAAGAAAAAATTCCAACTGGAACATTGCAGTCAAACCTGACAGATTATAGTGAGCTATTCACATCAAACAAGAAAGGTATTGTGCCTAAGAGAATTCTTGTGCAAGGGGAAACGGGAATTGGAAAGAGCACATTTGTTAAAAAGGTAGCGTTGGATTGGGCTAAACTCGTTGACGATAAGGACGTTGTAAACGAAGAAATGGCTGCTTCAAGCAAGGGCCGAGGGGGTAAGAAGCCATCACGTAAAGATCACGTGGGCGTCAGCCAGGCCGAGAGCAGCGAAGCAAGAAAACATGATGACAGCAGTGAGTGTCATATTGATGCGCTAAAGAGGTTCCAACTTGTTATTACTGTTCCTTTGAAATATGTGTCTAAATGCCAAAGTTTCAGCGACGTTTTAAGCTGTTCTCGTCTTATTCCAAAAGACGAAGAATCTTTAATAGATGATTTGTTTACGTACGTTTGTAACAACCAAGAGAAAGTTCTTCTGGTATTTGATGGCTACGACGAGTATCGCACTGGAAGCGTAGCAGAAGCCCAGTTTGGACGAAGAAGCACTTCTCCTATTTGTGAGATTTTCCACCGAAATGAGCTTAGAGACTGTACTGTCTTAGTAACCACGAGATCTTCGAGAGCTGATGAACTGCAAGAATCTGCCGATAAACACGCTAAGATCACAGGATTTTATGGAGGAGATCAATTTGCTTTTATGAAGAGGATGCTAGGTAGCAACAGCCAGGTATCTGAGCTAAACAGGTTCCTGTTGGAAAAGAGCCTGTTTTACCTTGCAAGAGTACCACTTCTGAATCTCTTTTTCTGCTTGTTGTTCAGGCAAGATAAGGAGAAAATGATGGAACTTGGCAAGAGAAAAACTCCATTATATCGAGCTATTATCCGATACATCTTGCAGTACAGCAACAAGAGACTTTCCCCTGCTAAAGTCTACAAAGTAAAAGAGGAAGATTATCAAGAAATCCTTACTGAAATAGGAAAGGTGGCGTTGGAAAGTCTTCTGAAGGGTAGTCAGGTGTTTGAATATGGTCAGCTGTCTGAGAAAGTACGTGGTGAAGAAAGTGTTATGGTGGGCCTCTTACAATTATCTGAGAACGAAGCAAGTTTGGAACCAACGGAGATAGTGTCCTTTATACACAAATCAATTCAAGAGTATTTAGCAGCCTGGTTTATCGCTAACAGATGTGTTCCCCAGGGTAATCTTGGTGTAATTGAAAAGCATGCCGCCACTTTGGAGGACTGTCGGTCAATTGCAAATGTTTTGCAGTTCGTGTGCGGTTTGTCCACGGAAGGAGCTGTAAAGGTGCTAACGCATTTATCTACTGTTCGCGCCAATGACTCGTCATTAGATTTTTCAAAGTTAATGCCAGTTGATGAAAGGGAAACAGACCTGCCCTGGGCTGGCTTTACCCTGCGGCATAGCCAGTTCAATGACCTGGTCCGAGATTGTTTTCAAGAAGTTTCATTGGCTCCCGATCTTATAGAGCATGTCTTTGGTTGCACCGGTGGAATCATCGTCCAAGAGACGCCAGTTGATCGCGGTCTAGTGCTTAAGCCGGAAGTTTTAACTCAGCAAGTAACACATTCTTGGGCTTTCTATTTTATTAACTGTCTTTCCGAGAGACGGCGATCGCTTTTGTCATCCGCCACCGCCAATTCAGTAGAGAACCTCTATCAATCAGCTCAATTTCTAGATCTCTTGCATATCCCCCTTAGAATGGTTAGGAATTCGAAAGAGCTAAAACTAGGAGACTTTTTAACAAAGTTTCGCCTTTGTTCTTGTACGCGTTGCACTTTCGCTTCCGTTCTTTGCTGCACTGATGGCAAAATGATGGTGTACATCACAGACTTGGACCTTATGTGTGATAAACATACCAGGATGTTTACTGAAGCTGCGGCTGTAGTTTGTGATCAATCTGTTTCTGCAAAAATGTGTTCAAGCCAACCATGTTTAAAATTCTTAACATCCTTAAGCTGCATTTTCGATGGAAACCGAGAATTGCCGAAAGAACTTGGTGTCATGCTTAGAAACTGTAAACATTTGCAAGGAATTAGGTTTGGCGGAGACGGTGACTACGCAGTTTATTTTCTCGAGAAATTAGCACTTCCCGGAAAATTGTGTTTGACCATTAATGTTAACGGAGATGGATCAATTTCCTGGGGTTCTGTGAACGATTTTCCATGTTTTCCCTATACAGCACCAAGACCTGAAGAAAGTTTATGTCTTATTGCGGGCTTGCTTTGCACCTATTCTTTTGAAACAGCGATGGCAATCATAAGCAGTATCTCGCCTGAGAGATTGGGAGAAGTTTCACTTAGAAATGTCAACCTCACCACCTCCGCAGCTGCGACTCTCGGTAAATCACTTTCTAAAATGACTTACTTACGAAGGCTTCAGTTACGAGGGCAGCGTTATCGTCATGGCTGCAGTTTTCTGAAATTGAATACTCTTTTTGAAGGATTTAACAATGTACGGTGTCTAGAAGAACTTTATTTATCAGATTTTTGTGTCGTTGATTCCTTTGCTCCACTAACCGAGAAATTTCGCTTCTTTGCTGATTTAAAAATGTTAGTGCTTGAAGACGTAAACTTGGATGGAGATGGTTTGTGTCTTCTACTGGAAGGTTCTCGATTCCTTCCAAATCTGCAACACCTGGATCTGTCGCACAATCCACTTGGTCGTGCGGTAAGAGCTATCGCTTCCTACCTTGACAAACTTCCTGAGCTTAGGGAGCTTCTGATTCATAATAGGTCAAGAGATGGCTCTGAAGACTTGAAGTACGTTTGGAAAGCTGCCAAAGAATTACGTCCTGAGATTTCAGTAAAATGGGAAATGATGATGCTAGATTATGTAGACTAGGGAAACTCCAACGTTTCCTGCTGTCTCCGCTAGACGATGATCGTCGAATTCGGCTTCCTCGAAGCATGTTAGTTTTCTTTCTCTACTAAACCACTATTGTGATGTTTTCTTTTAATTTCTAATTGTTCACGTTGCAAAAAAGGAAATTGCAATGTCGTGACAGCTCCTTTAAATACTTCCTCGGTTACTGAAACGCCAAGAAAACAGTAGGTCAGGTAAAATCGCAAGTGCATTTGACATCCTTAAGTATTTTCTCTCTTTCTACTGAAATAGTTTTTAAGTTCTGGGGGCTGTTTCTCGAAAGTCCCGATAATTAACGGGCCCGGTAAGCTGTCCCCGTTTACATTAAGGATAGAGGTTTCGATAGCTTTGCATCTATCATGATAAAACTATCAGTTAATGAAACAAAATGGAGTAGTTTGCTAGCCAGGACCCACGCTCTTATTCTTTATATTTCGACTTGAATATTTGATTTCGGGCCCGTAAAGTTACTGGGACTTTCGAGAAACGGGCACCGTGAGCCCCAGGCAGTTTTACTGATGATGATTAAGGTGCAATACGAAACAGTCAGTTTGTCTTTCCACAGCCTGTTCCAAGCGTTCAGATAGTGGAGAATTGCGCGAAATGGAGACAAACAAAAGCGGAAGAGAGGAAGATGGAGAGAGAAGCCTTTCCCTCCCTCCTCCTTGTTATCTCCACTATCTGAACGCATGTAACAGGTTAATCTTCATGGGATGATAGATTATTTCTTTAAAAGAACTTTTTGATGTGCCGATTAGCTTGCCGAACATTACAAATGAAAAATAACAATTCTGTACTCATTTTTTTTCCTACTTGTTATCACTTTTTTTATTGTGTCTTAAGATTACGAGTGGTCACTCTCCTGTGAACTGTGAGCGAAATACGCGAAATATGCGCAAGGAGAGGCAAAACGCGTGTCACCTTATGTAATAAAGATTAAAATCCCTGCGCAGTGTAGTTGCTTAATGTTAATTTGAAAATTTTAAAAACGACACCGTTCAAAAGAGTCTTAAACCCGACGTTTCGGCAATGCTGCCTTCTTCAGGGTACAAGAATGAATACCGTTAAAACTCTTTTGAACAGCGTCGATTTTACAATCTTCAAATTAACGCGTGTCACCTTCCTTACGGCTTGCGGATTTCACATGTCCTCGCTCTACTATTTCTGGGGAAATGAGGGACCGCCCGTAGTTTAGTGTCCCTTCAGACTCGTGCAGTGAATGGTCAACTGTCGTAGGGGGCTGATTACAGGAAAAGTTTTCCGAGAGCTCAGCAAGTTGCAAAAAAAATGAACTTTGTTATTACGTGACATCCGAGACAGCTCGGTTGGCCCAGATCCCAGTACTGTGGTGTCGGTATCGCGGCTGATCGGGCTGGAAAATTCCATCTAATCAGACCCACCGGTTTGCACCAGCAACAGGAAAACAACGAGGCTTAACAACTAAACAGCGAGTAACTTAGCTAAGATATAGTTTTTATTTCGTCTGACTCTCTTGCGTCATACTTTGCATAAAAAATGCCACAGTGGTAAGCCAGTTTTACTTAATGACGGACCTGGAGGGGCCGTGTAACACACTGCTGATGCGCAGTGCTTCCAATCACTATAAACCAATTATAAACCAATAAAATCCCCTTCACAGATTGGGCCAGACGAGGTGACTGTAGTCACTTTATTGGTGTGATGTTGATCTCGTCTTAACCTCCTTATTCCACTGAAGATTTATCAGCGTGAAAATTTAAGCGTCATCCCGTAGGCTAGGCTTTATGAAGTCGATATCTTTTTAGACGGTTTGCTTGACCCCTTGCTTAAATCAAAGAAAGACTATCGTCAACTCGTGGTTACGTTGTTTAGAAAATAATCAATTAGTTATCACCTCTGGTTTTCCCACATTGTCGGGCGACATGAAAATCTTTTTTATTGCAAATATTCTTTACAGATGAAAACAAGGTGTAATGAATAATGTGAAAAGAGAAAATGTTAGGGAATCCCCCATTTTGAACAGTTGAGAGTTTTGGCATGTCGCTAACGTAAATATTGCGTGACAAAGGTTATGTGAAACAGTCTTTTTTGGTTTTTCATTAGTTAAAGCAGTGATAGACTTTCTTGTAATGAGTCTTAATTATTTGTCGGCCAGTATTTGACGAAGTTTCCTGTAGGGAGTGCGAATTGTAAGGTATTGAAACGTACAAACAAAGTTTCGCGCATGCAAGTTTAATAAGTTAAGATTTTTGTTTTGTCGTAGTGTACACAGTTCAACAGCGACTAAGCTTTGTCATCGTTACTTGTGAATACTGTAACAATATTTTTCAATACACAGGGATCTCATTTATTGATAAGTAGCAAATATAGTCGCATTAACCATTCCGTTCCAAAACTAATCGAATTAATATTTGGCCCTAAGCCTATTTAATGCGTAATTAATTTTCTTTGAATTATTTCAATATACTTCTAAATCACAAAGGTAAACAATTATGTCCAGTAAAGGTGAGGGCATAAAAACGCCCTTAGCAATGGTTTAATGCAAATAAGGAAAGAGGAAAGGGCAAGGAGAGGAGGAGGGAAAAAGTAATTTGTTCACATGGCGAGTGTGTTAGAACGAATGACTGCGTTGCAACAAAGGTCACATGTAATTAAAACTCCAGAACAGTAGATCAGGGTTCAATACGTTAACATGAGTCAACTCCCAATCCTAGGCTGTCAAGTTACGCAGTTTTTCTCACGTGTTCAGATCGATTACATAATAATAAGATATTTCTTAGCAACAAGAATCCAAAGTAGCTAAGAATACCAAGGAGAAAAACATAAAAATTCTACATCAACGTCTAATGAATAATGTGAAAAGACCGCATTTTGAACAGCTGAGAATTTGCGCATCTCGCTAACGTAAATATTGCGTGACAAAGGTGATTTGAAAATATTTTGTTTTGTTGCTTCATAAGTCAAAGCAGTGATAGACTTCCTCCTAATGAGTTTTAATTGTTTTTCGGAAAATATTTGACGAAGTTTCCCGTAGGGAGTGCGAATTGTTAGGTATTGAAACGCATAAACAAAGCTTGGCGCATGCAAGTTTAATAGGTTAAGATTTTTGCTTTGTCGTAGCGTACACAGTTCTACGTCGACCAAGCTTTGTCATCGCTAGGATGAATACTGTAACAACATTTTGCAATAGCCAGGGATCTCATTTATTGATAAGTGGTAAATACAGTCGCATTAAACCATTCTGTGTGCAAACTAATCGAAAAAATATTTACAAGGTTACAGTTGTTGCTCCCTACTTCAAATTTCTGAACCAGCGATAGATCTCAGCGAACACTCCCAAAAGTAACGAGCCAGCGATATACCTCAGTCAGTGATATATCCCTAACAATGTAACTTTGAAAACACAGAAACGCGTTGCATTTTATGACCGGTGCCAGCCTTCGGCTAGGCCCCGGTAATGATAGAAATTCAGATTATAAATATACTATCCTTGTTCTGGAAACACAATACTTTTCTTGCTGTTTATTGCACTTTATTAACAGCTATTTAGGTATATATTTAAAAACAAAAAAAAAACAAATAAAACAGCAAAACAAATAAGCAAACAAAACAAAACAAAAAAGAAAAAAAAAGGAAGAAGGGAAAAAGAAGGTCGTTAGCAGAGTTTGAACCCGGTGCCTCCGAGTTGATGGACCTCACATAGCCACTACGACATTGAGGATGATCAAGTGGTTTGGGTGAGAAGTCTCAAATTTAATGCGTTTTCCATGGAACTTCCGCCGGCAAACGATCGAGCCATTCTTAACCGATTGAAAAAAAAGACTCGAAGCAATCGGATGAAATTAAGGCTAACTGAAACCAGGCTAATGACCGTAAAAAACAATGTAAAAGCATTTCATGGCAATGAAAGAACATATGCGATACAAAGACGACACAACTCCTCCGCGAAGTAGGACGCAAAACATAAGCTTATGTTTTCTTATCTCGATTTCCGCTGTCATTTTAAAGCTAATGCTCAAAATCACATCCATTTCCCCCCGTGACCTTGGGGAGTACTTAAGAAGAAGAAGAAGTGCCTTTATTTACCATACATTCATTCATACACATAACCTTCTACATTACTACAAGGTAGGAGATGAAGCCAGCGTCGAAGTTGAAGGAGTCGAAGAGCAAATGCTCATTTTCTCGTCAAGTTTAACGCCTGGACGAGTCATAGGCTCTTGAATCGTACTAATCTGAAAGATTCCTGCGTGTCTTAAATTTGGTAAGACCTCTTTCCTCTGACCGTGCTGTAGCGCACGATGCACGCTCTTAGCAAGGAATTTGATGCCACCGAACTTTGGCCAGCGCGTGCTTCTTTGGAAACGATAGATCTTCGCTCTTTCGAGTTCGGACCCGATTAATTACGAAGTGCGTCTACTACGAGTGAGCGAGTGACTCATTTGCATATCCCTGTCCCTGCAATAACTCGTGGTACGCTCGCGCGTACCCACGAGTTAAAAATATACTGGAACACTGCCC